TGTATATTATATGTATATCATAATGGTATAATATAGAATGAAATTTAATTTAACATAATAAAACACAATATTATAATAAATTAAATGTATATTATATGAATATCATAATGGTATAATATAGAATGAAATTTAATTTAACATAATAAAACACAATAATATAATAAATTAAATTTATATTATATGTATATCATAATGCTGTAATATAGAATGATATTTAATTTAACATAATAAAATACAATAATATAATAAATTAAATGTATATTATATGTATATCATAATGCTGTAATATAGAATGAAATTTAATTTAACATAATAAAGCACAATAATCTAATAAATTTAATGTATATTATATGAATATCATAATGGTATAATATAGAATAAAATTTAATTTAACATAATAAAGTACAATAATATAATAAATTATATGTATTTTATATGTATATCATAATGGTATAATATAAATGAAACTTAATTTAACATAATAAAACACAATAATATAATAGTTAATCATATACAATATTCATCAATGTAATAATATATTTACAGTTGGGTCCAAAAGTTTCATTGAACCACCAAGAATCGGACAAATTATTGCTAAGTGTTGATTTTCGTGGGTCGAGCTTTTCAGAAGAATAAGGTCTGCTGATTATTCTGAAGCGCAATAATTCAAAATTATTGATGCCGAAAGGACAATTGGGAAGAAAATTAAGGTTTGTCACAAAAATATAGGAAATGATTGATGGTTTCCGAAATAAGGTCTGGTTAGCAAACAAGGGGTTTGCAGGGGGGGATTTTAAAGAAACGAAAGAACTGGGTGCTTTCATAAATTCTCCGTATCCACCTGAGTAGATGTTTAGAGAGTGAGCATGCTTCCATTTCGAGTGAAAGTGTTTAGTGAAGAGATTCGAAGGTCGAATAGAACGGCGGATTCATCTTGACTAGCTGTCAATTGGCTTTACTGGAACATTCACGGAGACGCTGTTTTCGATGTGATCTCCTTCGATTCCAGTGAAAAGGTGCTAAGCTTTCGTCCGTCACATGACGAACGTCATCAGAGCAACGTGTCATCATCACAACCAAATTCAAGCTAATGAGTCAAGAAAACTCGTAAAGAGTCAAGATTCTTGACTCATTAGCTTGAATTTTGTTGCGACGATGATACCCTCCTTACTCGGATGATGTTCGTCATACGACAGACGAAAGCTTAGCCCCTTTTTGCCGAATCGAGGGCGATTGCCTCGGAAACAGCGTCAGTATGAATGTTCTAGTAAAGCCAATCGACAGCTGGTCAAGAGGAATCCGCCGCCATCTTCTGGTCGAATCGTTCTTTGAATCTCTTTACCAAACACTTTCACTCGAAATGGAAGTAAGCACAACAGTTATTTAATAAGAGATTCCTCGAAACCCAACTTTTCTTCGCATAGAGAGGGAGCATGGTTCATATCCCAAAACTTAGTTCTTTAATGATCAGGTAACAATAAAAAAATAAAAAAAAACAAATTAGTTTAAAAACTCAGAAATAATTTACTTTTGCTACTGTAATGCGATTTTTCCCATATGCTTATACAGACGAAAGCAATTTTGTTAGATTTTTGATTTAAGCATCTCTGTAATTTTATTCGCTTTCTCCATTCCTCTCTACTCTTATACGGCCGACCAATGGAGGAAACAGTATGACATTGTCTAGAGTAAACACTTCAGACAAGTGGGTAAAAATGTACCGAATGAGTCAATAAAAAGTTGTTTGGAGTATAAAAGAGTATTAGATAAAGCCGAATTTGGGGGACATCCTATCATTTTCAGAAAAGAACTAAGAACATGGTTGACGTTAACCAGACGCAACTGGACTTAGATCCCCTGACGGTCATCCCTTCCACTCTGCGATGCTTCTGAACCAAATAGGCCAAAAATAAACGACAAAAAATTGATAATTCTGTGGAGCATGAAGGATGGCACATAAATGAGCAGCCAAGAGGATGTGTCCTAGGTCAGACAAGATTCATGCCAGAGCTCAGGCAAAATTGTAATGTTTAGCAAATGCCTGACAGTAAAAGCAAATTTAACTGCTACTCTCTACACCAAATGAAAAAGGAGATGCAACCTTTTAGCTTTGGATTGCCAATTTGCAGTAAATTTGTTGTAGAGTTACATTAATTTTGAGTGCTTTTAAAATATTCGACTCATAACGAGTCTGTTCATGATGAGTTGAAGTGCACGTCTTATTTTACAATCATTTTCGACTTGTTATACAAACCAGCAGATTGTACTGCTGTTTCATACTTGTATGGTCGTCACATAAAACAGCCCCAGTGGGATTCATATGGTTGAAATGTGTGAGTTAATAGGCAAACAATTGGCCTCACGGCCACGCGAACTGGTAATAGGATGTAAGGGCCAAAATTGTGCTGCTTTGTAATTAAATGAGCCAAGACACCTACCTTTAAACCCGTTCGTCTGTGGTTCGAGTCCCTCAAGGATTGTCAATGATGCATTAAGACGAGGCTGAATCCACAGGCTACTGAAGATAAGAGTCAAATTTTCCAAGACATGGTGGAGCGAAGTTTCGTGTAAAGCTTAAGCATTATCTACAACCAATTGCAGGTAGTTTCGTCAACAGAAATCTGAGTAAAATAGAGTTCTCCAAGTTGGCACATAAAGAAGATGGGATAAATAGTAATCAAGATTTTGATGAAGCTAAAGAGGCAGTAGAAATCATGGCACTGACAGCCTCTGCTGCGTCGAGAATCTGGTACAGTACTGCTTTATTTGCCTTCAATCAATGCCAATAAAGCATCTAAGATTTATATGGAAGAGCAAGATTCCGAGTGGATGGTATATATTTGTGGAAGTGCCAAGGAGATGGGTCGTAACGAGGCGATTGTGCCAATTTTGTGAGTACAACATGTCGAATCGAGCAACTAACCTCATCACTATTCCATACATTTTTGTTTCTCTCTAGAGTCAAGACTGTACTGTCTTCCTCTTCACAGTCTCCAATGGCCTGCTAAGCCCAATTGGTTATATCAGCGTTGGCCTGGCGATTTCGCAAGTTGAATGGGTACCAAACCACAGTGGCCAGAAAACCGAGAACCTTCTTGTCTACTTGTCCACGGGCTGTGTTTTCCAGGCAAGTAGGGTCTGCCAATTGCAGACCGTTTTTTAGACACACCCAACCTCACACTACTCACACTACTCACACCCACGCACACACGCATACAGAACAGGCGGTACTGGCACTATCGATGCAGATGCCATGCAAAATATGCTGACGTGTCTTGAGGTCTATTCTCGAAAATGGCACATTTTATGGTGGGATTGTCGAGGAGGCTAAATTGTATATTGAATAAAAAATGTGTTTGAACTCTTTCGGTCTGAGGTGACGAGGGAGTGAGAGTTGAATTTTCCCACAATCGCATTTAAAATGGATTTCACATAATCTTGCTTCCCTAAATTTATTCATCTTGGATGTGACTACCTTTTGGGAAGTATTTTTATGTGTAATCCAATCAAAACGTGATGCTTCTTATTAGCATTGCGGTAAATTGTCAACAACATAATTATTTTTCAAGTCTCCACACCCCACTTCAACGAAAGTAAATTCTATTTGTTAGTAGTATCGACGATGATGGTAGAAAATGGACCGAGAGGCCTGTTTAATTAAGTACTATGCTCTTTCATTTCGAGGAAAATGGTGTGATGAAGATATTCAAAGATCGATCCCATAAGAACACGACTGCAGAGTCCTCTTGATCAGCTCTCGGCTAGCATTGCTGAAATATTCTCGTTGATGCTGTCTCCGAGGCAATCTACTTCGATTTCGATGAAAACGTGCCAGGCGTTTTTGTCTATCATATGACGGACATTGTCAGAGCAGGCTATCATTCTCACAGACATATTCAAGTGAACGATGCAACAAAACTCAGTCTACACGTCGCAGCTATACGCCAAACCCTTAGTTCAGTTATCTCTCAAATAATTGTTTACATTCTTCACAATCTTAACTACAAATTACAAGTAATTCTTAACATTAATTTATCATATTTTCACTCTTTCTGATCGTACTACTTCGACACAACAATTAAGGACTTGCATATGTTGGCAAAATCGAAACGCGATTCCCTTTCATCCAAAATGGAAGTGAGCTCAATCTGCTAAATTCTAGGGTGTGAACAGTTATTGCATACACTTCATATTTGATCATGCTCAAACATATAAACACATATGTGTATAGATTTACGTATGGTAAAAAATAACCAAATCACTCTATACCTCATAAAAAGACATCCGTTTTAGACTATAAATACAGTAAGTTTTCTTGACTTGTTAGCTATGCTTAGTTGTTAGAATACCAACTTCTTCTGATGAATTCCTTTATATGAGAGAAGTCGTGGGGGAATTTCGCCACAATCGTATGAGTGCAGTCGATGTTTCCATTGAATTTCACATAGCCTTGTTTTCATAAAAGGTGTTCTCCTCCTCAAGGCTGGAATGGCCAGCAGATTCCACCTCGCCCTGAACTTATCAACACTTCCAGCGGGACTCGAACCGGAATAGTACAGCGCGTCATCTAGACACGTTAATCCTTACGCCATATTGTCACGAGTGCCCTTGGATCACAGGTCAGATGTGAATGTCAAGGAAGGCCAGCTATTTTCCCATATGACTTTCTCTTTTGGAAATTTTGATGAAGCAAAGCTTATTTTTCGTGAATACATCTCATATAACTGATTTACTGACAGTCTCGAAACCCTACTTATAAATGAAAACGAGAATTTTAGTCTTCATAGACCATTTAC